ATGCGTCCTCAAATTCCTTAGAACAGGATTTAATGTTGAAATTAGGAACCTTTTGGGTTGGTGCTATCATCAGCCAGTCTTTGCTCCATGAAATAACAGATCACCTGTTTTTGTCCCTGCAGGTCTGTGGTGATGCCCATCGCTCAGGAGTTTTCTCCAGATGTGGTTTTGGTGTCGGCTGGGTTCGACGCAGCTGAGGGGAACCCTGCTCCTCTGGGCGGGTACAAAGTCTCTGCCAAGTGTAAGCACAGCTCTCCAACCACAGCCAGTGTGGTCTTGTCTTCTTTGAAACTTGAATTGCCTGATATTTATTACAGTCCTTGGGACAAAATTGATAGTTGTGCCTTGTGTCCAGTGTGGAGCAAAGACCAGGATCACGTCTCACCTCATTTATTATGTGGTTATTTCATAGTTCAACTTTGTTGCTATGCCACAATGTATGAAACATACATTTTTATTTATAACATCTGAGATATGGAGGTAACATTAATTAAGCAAGACACTGCAAACATGAAAGCTCTGAGCCAGATGTACTTTCTATGGGAAACTAAAGGGGCAGTATCATGTAAAGTTGACTTCTTTAAGCTTAACATCATGTTATAATGTTATTCCCTCATCAAAAACATACCTTTTAATCTCCATGTCAACCATTCAGCTTTAAAAAAAACAAAAAAAAAAACGCAAGTAAGCTCCTTCAAACTAACAGGCTGCAATTAGCAAACTACTGCTGAGCTCATTAAGTGAGCTACTTCTCAGAAACACTGGTAAAAAAAGTTTTTGTGATGACTTCCTGAAGACAGAGTTTTAGAAAGACCAGGAGCTTCTTAAAGAGACAGAGGCTTAATTTTAAGACGTTAAATTACTATGTCATTTTTTTCTTTTTTAACAACTGAAGGTAACAGAGCTACTTAATTGTGCTACAAACTGATTCTATGTTGTTGGAAAACACTTGAAGTGGCCCCTTTCATAGCAGTTTAGCTTTTTCACGGTTTCCGTAACAGTTTTTGTAGTTGTTGATGTTGTAACAGCTGCAGCTCACCCGTCAGCCTTAGTGCTCCTCATGTGATTGTTTCTGTGTTTGCTTCAGGCTTCGGCTTCCTGACCCGCCAGCTCATGTCCCTCGCTGGAGGCCGTCTGATTCTGGCCCTTGAGGGAGGTCATGACCTCACAGCCATCTGTGACGCATCTGAAGCTTGCGTCAGTGAACTACTGGGTATGCAGGTAAGGCATCCTGGGTAATTGAGTTTTTTAAAAGTAACTAACTTATGTCCTAAAACTACTTTTTTAGGTCTAGTGCAGTGATGTAAGTATGCTGCTATTTTCTCTGATTTAACAGATTTTTTTTCTGTCGTGGCTTGTCTTGCAGGACGCAATGCCAGAGGATGTTCTGCTCCAAAAACCCAACGCCAACGCAGTGCGCTCCCTCCAGACTGTGATAGAAATACAAAGTGAGCAGCAGCAACACTTTAACTTATCCACTCTGCCTTTTTCTTGCATTAGCAATTAACAGCTGCCCTTTGGTTTGAAGCAGGAGTGTTCAAAGTGAGGCCCGGGGGCCATGCACGGTCCCTGACCTGATTTAAAAAATTGAATAAATTGTGACATATATAGTTAAAATCTACCTATGAAAATGTTAGGTTCAACGCAAAGTAATCATCTTTTCCAAGATTTCTGCTTTCCTTCAAAATTGATGCTAATTAGGGCTGTATTTCCTCATTGACTTACACTCCGACGTTTACCGTGATGCACCCAAATCTACTGTTAATTGTTGTTTTAAAATGTTTCTCAATACAACAAGTCTTTTCAAATAAAGACTGACCCAGATCCTGTGTTTATTGCTTGGACTATACAACATATTTTTTCAGATTTCTTCAGTTAAGCCTGAAACACGAAGATTGAATTCTGCAAGTCATCGACTCGATGTAATCTGCTGAGTTTCCTTCGATAGAAACTTTTTAATAACCTACTTTGAATAATTAATTGAGCTTACTGCTTAATAATAATACTGCTTAATAACTGCACACATACAGCTGGAATGTATGTGTGATTAAATTTAAATGACTTTGTTGTAAAGTGCCATGAGACCACATTTGTTGTGAATTGGCGCTATATAAATTAACTGAATTTGAATTGTTACTAGAGGTGTGCCGATCGATCGGTCACCGATCATAATCGGGCCGATTTCCGTGAAAAAGTGCATGATCGGTGATCGGCGATCATTGGCTCTTGATGCCGATACCGATCATCTCATTTCCAACCTGCCTGTGCAGCTGGTCTCCTCTTTCCTTCACTGCGCATACTCGCAGCAACAAATCCTAAGCGATGTGGAACTATGAAGCACTGAGTGAATGGGGAAGTTTGCGTGTTGCAGCGGAAAATTAAAGCAGGTCAAAATGCATCAACACGACGAATCTAATATGGTATAAAAACAATGAGATACTTGACGGAGTTTGGCTACATCGAGGCTCACTGCAGTAAAAAAGACATACGGAGGATCAGACAGCAGGTAAAGCAGCGCACTGCTAAAAACACTCACCCGGATTAGCATGACGGTCAGAAAGCTAAACAAATAACCTGGAAAGTGATTTAAGTCTTCGAGCTGCGATGTAAGACTCTGGTTCTGCTCTCCTGTTGAACCGCTGCTACGCTACAGGTAGTAATATTTCACAGACGGAGCTTCGCTTCTGCTCCACCTGGTAGTGACTCACACCGAATCTCTGTTTAAAGCTGCAGCATGTAACCTAAAAAAATAAATTTTACATA